ATTGCTCCAAGGCGAAGGAAATATAGGATTGTGTTCCTATAAGTCTGATCACATTTTCATCAAACATAACCTTGTTTTATGTGTGCTGTATTTAAAGAAACCTATTTAATATGTATTATTGATTCATTAATACTGAAGTTGCAGCCAACAGCACTCTAACTCGTGCCTGAAGGAAGCTTATCAGGGAAGCATATTTTCTTCGTAAGTCATGTCATAGCCTTCTTGCACGTAGAAAACACTAGACAGCACTTTAGCACTATGCTTTATCATCATTTTAAACAGCAAGCCACCAAAAACAAACACAAAAATTCAAAACACGCAATACTAAAAAGATTGTGAAAAGGAGAATTGTTTACAGCATAAGAGCTTAATCAAGAAAGCAGAGCATCACCCTGTTCAACCTCAGCAGGGAATGCTGGGACAGGTCAATCACATCTTTCATTGATCTTCACATATCCACAAATGACCATCAGACTGCATGAGTATTGATTTGGGAGACACAAATTTTAGCAAGTAGGCAAATTCACAAATGAACTTCTGTGGAGTTCCCTATAGCAAAGGGAGTAGGAACAGAAGAATAGAGAAGGATACTTAGAGCATCCAAGCTGATGGTTCAGAGACACCCTCACAAAGTTTACCTGTTCCCAGTGTGCAAGCAACAGTGCTTTCACATGTATGCTATAGGGGCTCAGAAGTAGCTAACTTAGAGTCAACAAAGGCTGTGCAGATGAAGGAAGAAGAATGCAACAATTTATTGTATGATTAATGGTCATACTCCAGACAGGACTGAGGACTGCCCAGTGGATACCAGAGTCTACATATGCAGAAAAAGATCAGATCCTCCTGCCTTCACCTTCCCACCCTACCTACGCTCCCATGCCAAGGCACTCCCTTAGCTTGATGGAAACTGGATGCAGGCTTCAACAGAGAGAGATTCTCAATTGACTAACTTGTATTCAATATACTGATAAACTCATAAATTGACTCAGATTTAGTTTTGGCTTAAAATAAAAATATTTCTAAATATTCAAGCGTCTTATGCTTTTACTGAAGAACTTGGGTCATTTTAGGATTTAACCCATATTTATTGCTATACCTATGTGAACCACCCCGTACAGCATGTCACATCCTAGATGGTCACTAAGACAATCACAACACATAAATATGAGATAGCCTATAATACACATGAGGTACTTTGGCACAGGCAAGGATTTTAGAAATAGAAAGGAGGAAAATACCACTTTGAATGTTGGCGCATGGGGAAACCACAGAAGAGAGATACTTTTACTAGATCATAAAATACCGAATGAATGGTTTGCATAAGTACAGAGAAAAAACTGGAAGGTGTTTTATATGAGGAGAATGCTTGAGTAGGTTGAACAGCTAGAAATCCCTGAGGCATACCTGGGGGAAATAAGTAAATTGGTTTAAGTAGAATGATAATAAAGAACGGTGAGAGAATACGACATGACAGATTTAACAAAAGAAGAACCCGCTGAATTCGGTGAATGACTAGCTATGAGGGAAAAGCAGAAAAAGCTTAATAGACAAATCAGGTTTTGAGGTTGGGGACTGAAAATTGAGGTACCAATGACAGAGTCGGGAAACCAGAGCAGAACTAGTTTGAGGCAAAATAAATGACGAGTTTGAGGCAACAATGTGACATCCTACAGGAACTGACAAGCAAGCAGCTGAAGTTATAAAACTGGATCTCAGAGAAGCAGAATTGGAAATGTGTAGTTGAGAATTATCAGCACTAAGATTAATCAAGTTAGCCTGTGTGTGGGTAACTATCGAAGAGGCAGAGGAGGAAAAGTATCCACAGAGAAAACAAAAAAGGAGTAGTCAGAAGGTGGAAACATACATATTATCCCCCAAGAGCAGAGCAAGTAGAAAGATTCAAGGGTTTATGATCAACTGTGTCAGTTGCTACACAGGATAAAAGTTAAACAGAGGACTGAGGACATTCAGCTGAGTTTGCTGACAAGCAGTTCATGCTTGAGAGAGCAATTTTATCAGAGTGGCTGACGTGTGAGAAAGAATGCTTTCAAGAGTAGGTGAAAGAGTACATGGAGGGAGAATGCAGATAATGGCTTTTGATCCCTTTGAAAGAAAGCCGGTCTTGAAATTACTAGGTTTGCAGCATCACCAAGGAGAAAGACGGGGAAGTTTTTCACTTTGCTTTCTTTTCTGAAGTTTCTCCACACAAAGAAGAGGGTCCCATGGAAAAAGACCAATTGCAGATTCAGGAGAGTGATGGGAATGACAATGGGCAGGCTTGTTAGTAATAAGACCTAACATTTATAGAGCCCTTTTTTTTTTTTTTAATCCTCACCCAAGGTATTGATTTATTGATTTTAGAGAGAGAGAAAGGGGGGAAGAGAGAGAGAGAGAGCGATCAATGTGAGAGAGAAACATCGATCAGTTGCTTCCCCTACAACCCTGCCTTGGGAATGAACCTGCAACCTAGGTGTGTGCCCTGTCCGGGGATTCAATCTGCAACACTTTGGTATATGAGACAACATTTCAACCAACTGAGCCACCCAGCCAGGGCTTTTACATGGTTCTTGTTCTGTTCCAGGCACTCTTCTATGTGATTTGCACATATGAGTACACCTTAATCTCTTAATCATTTAATCAGGTGGATACTATTATCATCTTCATTTTACAGATCAATAAATGGAGGTAGATGGAGGTTAAATGACTTACCCAATATCACCATCTGGAAGGAATAGGGTCAAGTGAATACATGCATACAGACATCAAGCTTTTATCCACTGGGCTATATCACTTTTAAAGATTACAGAGTAATGACTCGCTTTATGAGACAGGGGGAGAGAAAGGATATACTGGCTTATTCTAAGATAAAAAAGAAAGTACCTGAGTATCATCATGTATGCTGCTCAGGTACTATTACATCATCTAATCCATCTATTATATCATATAATAGAGTTCTTTCTTGAAAGTAGGATAAGAGGGCAGGGTTTAGGGTAAGGATTTCGAACACACTGAGTCTGATGAAGATTTAAAAGAAAGGATTGCACAGTACAGCTTCAACAGGAGACTAAAAGCTGTTAAACACCTTCTATAACCCCAGCTGATGAGGGAATATCAGGGATAGTTAAGTTCAATGTGGCTGTCATCAAGGAATGGTGGGAAAATTAGAGTTTGGAGGTGAGCTTAGCAGGTAAAGCTGTAAAATCAGGCCTAGCCGAGAATGATATTAGGGTATTGAAGAGAAGTTAATTTAGATGGCAGATTATGTTTTATAATGCCAAGCAAGAAGCTATTTCAAGTAAAAAAGACAGGTCTTGATAATTTTGTGTGTTCTTGGCCCAAGTTTTAATCTTGGTAAACATAGATATCAAATTTGGTAATCTATAATTTCAATAGGAACAATTGAAGTATAAGATTAAGCAATTGAATCTTCCATTAGAAATGTTATTTACTACATTATTATTATTCAGTTATAAATGTTTCTTTTTTCAATATCAATAAATCTCTGACCCTGAAAGATAAAATTTATTATGAAGATTGTATAGACTGAAAATAGTTGTGCAACCTCAAATGGCATTTATGTATATTGTTTTTCACAGTCTGATCAAGCACAGGCTAAAGTATGGATGAAATGTTAACTCTATCCTTGCTGAATAGTTCCAGAAAACACCACCAAAAACAGCAAAAAAAAAAAAAATATTGAGCTATTTAATGCTATCAATACCTATGAAATACAACTATAACTCAATCATAGATGACAGTTTATAAGAAAAGGATGTTATTAGTAGCATTTTTAACTCTATTGAATAGCTAAATACATTTCATAGATATCGGCAAGCATTAAATCATGAAGAATTTCAAATAATATAAAATCCTTAAAAATAATATTCTTTCTCTTAAATACTTCTTCTTGCTAGACTAAAAGTTGAAAATAAAGATCATAGAAATGTCATCTTGAACTTTGCCCAAAAACATTTTGTTTGCAGAAAATAGATATTTTGAAAGTTTAATTTGTGCTTCATCATTTAGTTGTGATAGATGTTATTAAATATAAACAGCAAATTTTTCCTCATACAATTGTGTCAACTTTTTAGATAATTGTGTTTAGACTGGTTTATGAACATACTTTCCAAAACAGAATGATTCAGGGCTCAAGTAATATTGTTCTAATGCATTCTGAGCATATGACCTTGGCTGATTTTTAAGTTTAGAGGTATATTCCATAAGATACAGAGAATTTGCAAAAGAAATGTTTTTAAACAAGATTTTGAATTTTACAAAAAGATTTAATTGCACATTTATTTTGACAAGTCAATTCTGCCAGGGATTTCTGAGGGTCTGAGAGTCTGTACTAGCCAGGGTGGCCTTACAGGGGTGCTGAGGAGACAAAGGGCTCTGAGATGTAAGCCTAGTGTGGTACTGGCTGCTTGCTTCTAATAGAACTTTTATGATTGTGTTCCAAAGCCAACTATAAATATTTTTTCTTCTTTTTTAATATATATGCATATTTTGGGTACTAACACCTCATTATTATTTATCTATCTCATCACTATAAATTATGAGTCATACAGATACATTTCACAGATATCTGCTGAAATTCTAAGTACTTTTTGCTCATTGACGGCAATTATAAGTGCTTCTTCCTCAAGGCATTTAATTTAAAGAAAACTTTTAAGAACATTTAACTGAGACTAGAAGATAAATTAATAATGGCATCTTGTAAGGTTTTGAAAAATTTTTTGGGATTTTCACGCTGGGCTAGAACATGAAACAATAAGGAATCCAAATCAGGAAATGACTTTAAAAGAAAATAATAAATATTTAATAATTTTCCAAGGTTAACTATTATCTTTTTTTAAGATCATGTGCCTTAATGCAAATATTTAATATTAATATGTTTAAAAATTCTTAATATATGTTTCCTGCACACTAAAGTTTTAAGAGTTAAGCATAAAGAAAGTTCACAGCACAAAACAATTCCCATTTCAGCAGGGAATTCTCACCTTATTATATGCGTTGTGACTAAACAGGGTGTGGGAATTTTCCTGTTCATCAGACAGTGAGAAGGAGGACAAATGACTGAAGGGTCCTGGGGTAAGACAGTCGGCATGTGAGAGGGCCTGTGGATGCAGCAGGGACTTAGCAGGAGGGTAGAGTTTAGTCTGATATAAAGGATGGAGAGAAGCAGGCTTGTGAGGGGCTGTCAGATCCTGGGAAGAAGAAATGCATAAAGAATATGTTAGTGAACAGAAGTCAAATTCCCTTGGAGTTCAGTCTAGATATTATAGACATTATGCAGGAATCTCTTTTAAGTAGAAAGAAAATTTCTTCTCATACACAAGTTTCTCACAAGACACCTGCTTTTATAGTGGGTTTTTTGCTGCTGCTGTTTTATTCAATAATTCTTGTCAGTCTCCCACCTCCAGCCTCTTCTACAGAACTAAACAAATGCTTGCAGTGTTTCCCAAAGGGTGCTAAGTCTGTTCTTTTTGAAAGTACTGAAAGGAGAAATATTTAAGGAAGAAGAGAGTTCATCCCAAAAGGGGGAGATGAGAGTAGGACGTCTTCATTGAAGAGGTAGGTAACAGTGAAAAAATTTAAAGGTGTTTGTGGTTGGGTCTGGAAGAAATGGGGTGAGAAAAGGGAAGGCACTCAACAGGATATCAGTGTAGGATCAGGGGCAAAAATACTGATTTAATTCATGGCACAGTAAATTGTTGAGCTGGGTGAGTATGAACAAGGAATCAGGGAGAGGCGTGTCTAGAATGGATGAATGAGGTCTTTAATTCCAGGCACTGTGTTGCTATGGAGAAAAAATGCAGATAGAGCAAACAGATGAGTTCAAGTGTAGAGAGGAGAGGTAGTGAGGTCTTAATCTGAGTGGGTCATTACACTGGAATCGGGATTAATGCCAATGGCTTTGAGAAAGTAGGAGCTACTAGACAAGGCTGTGAATTATGTGAAAGGAGCAAGGAAACCATGAAATGGGAAGTCTTGAGCCTACAAATTAAAGTTACAAAAAGAGTCTATGTAATTATATTATCTATGTAAGAGAATTATCTATGTAAGAGAAGGGCTACTTTTTTTATAATATAATAATTTTATAATATAATAATTATATTATCTATGTAAGAGAATTATCTATGTCAATATAATTATCTATGTAAGAGAAGGGCTACTTTTTTTGCAGATACATAAGCACCTCTTATATTTCAAGCTGAATTCATTTTGCCAAAACTATGTATTTTAAGCCATTGATTGATTTTCTAAAATTCATGCTGAATGTGTTTGCTCTATCAGTAGATGCCCCCCCTGCCACTTTTTTTTAAAGCAATAGATTTAAAACTTATTTGCAAACTTACTTAAAAAAAACTCTTAGAAAATTTAAATGGGTTAGAAAATTATAATTTTAAGGTATTTAAGTTTGTAGAATTGAGTGGTTTAAACCCTCTGTATCTTGAAACAGTGACTAAATGTGTTTTATTTTTATTAATTTTTTTTTGTGCTTCATGTGTTTATTTTACTGATGAAGAAAATAAAAATAATTTCACACATACACATGACAAGCATGCACTTATAAAAACGGTAGCACCTATATCCATTATTCTTCATTTTATTTGTTTGGATCTTTTTTTACACTTAACAACAGCTTAGGAGTATTTCTGTGTCACAAAATGAAAGCTTTGGATTTCCTACTGAGATGCATTGCTGAGTTATCTCATTGATTATAATTGTCATTCAGTTGATTCTCTTGGAAACTCCATGTATAGCACTTAAAATACTGAATCACCTAAAATTGTGATAAATTTACCACTTCATATACTTTTTATTCCTTTCTTTTGTCTAATTCCATTGGCAAATACCTCTAATGTGAAAGTCATGTTAGTGTGCAACATTAAAGGAATACTTGTAGTTTTGCCAATGAAAGATGGCTTTTAGATGGAAATATGTTCTAATTTTATTTCTCAATCAACTATTTCACTATTTTATCAACAACTAATTACACTTCTTAATCAATGCAAAAGTGATTAATATGAAAACTGAGTAGCAAGTACAAGCCTTGCTGTGTAATAAAAAGGCAGCATTGTTGAGAGTTGACAGTGCCTAGGAAAAAATGCACTAAACAAAGTCTCTGGTTTATATTCTGGTTTCAGCTTTTCTTGGAGGGTTTAAGAGTCCATTCTGAAGATGTCTGCATGATACCTGGGAAGCAGTGGCTTTTCTACATGGTGGGACCTTATGGCATCAAGGCAAACCAATTAGGAGTAAAATGTGTGGTGAGTTGTGCTGCTGTTTTGTGCTTCTAAGCTTGTGGCCAACCTCCATTTCTCGAGTCAGTGAAACCTGAATATGTCTATAGTTAGAGTCAGATGGTGTCAGCTACTCCTGGCAGCTGGGCAGAGAGGAGAGCAGAATTTTATCTGTACTTGGAAAAGCCAAAGAGAGTTAAGGATCTTGCCCAGGCTCATTTGAGCACTGTCTAGTTGACAATACAGGACAAGAGTGGGAGGATTATCAATAGTGACAGCCTCAATATAGACATCACTCAAGGTACCTGTTCCAATCTGTGCTAGTTGTCTTCTAAGCTTTGTGTTAAGTCCTTATCCTGTGATTCTCTTTACCAACATACTAGAAATTTCTTTTGTCTATCTCTCATGTTCGATCTCCTCTTTCAAAGGCCCTATATCTTTTTTCTGGTTTTCTGATTTCTCTCATACATACTGTGCCCTAAAGGATCTTCCTGGGTGGAAAATGGAGTATTGGAAACAAATTTTTACATCTTGCAGGTTAAAATTTTCTTCTGCTCTTACTTTTAAGTTTTGGGATATAGAATTTTAAACAAAATGATTTCATTCAGAATTTTGAAAGTATTGTTACACTAGAACAGTGTTACGATACTGTTACTAATTTACTCATTTGTTTTTTTAAACGTTTATATTTATGATTTCTACAGCTTTTCTGTTTTTTAGTTATCTTTTGCTTTTCTTATGCACAGAAAATTTTATGGTTCTTAAAATTTCTATGTTGAATGTTTAATTGATTTACTTTTCTTTTCCTATTTATATATTAAGCATACTTAAAGCTATAAATTTTCATCTAAGAATGATTTTAATTGTATCCCATAAATTCTAATAGAAAAAAATACCTTTTATTTTCCAGGTAGAAATTTATGTTTAATTTCCTCTTTAATCAAAGATTTAATGAAAAGAAAATTTTTCAATATACTGGTGTTAGAGACTTTTTGTGTTTTCTAAATTTGTATTAATAAATAAATTTTTGACATATAAAGACATGTGTGTGCATTATTTTTATCTTGGCAATTAATAAATTTTTATTTTGGGCCTTATAGCCAGTTTTTGTGAGGATCCACACAATCCATACAAAAAATAAATTTTTTTTATTTTTCCACATACTCTATTATAAATTGAAAAATGACAAAGTATTTTATCACTATATGTTTTATGTTATTCTCATCTCTTGCTATTGCCCTATGAGTATTCATGTTAAAATACTCTAACAAGTACATTTGTCCCTGTAAAGTGTACCCTTTAGCACAGAAGTGGGTCTCATTTGTCTGCTTAAGAAATTTTTGGCCTGAATTCAACCTGCCCATTGTGAAGATTATAACCTCTCCTTTCCTTCCGTTTGTAGTGCGTAGAATACTTCGTCATCTTCAACTGTTGCCAATTACTTTGTTTAACAGACTCAACTTAAAGATGAACTTTGTTGGTTATGCAGTCTGGGAGATTTTTTGTTTCCTTATTTTTTTTCTTTGTCTCCATAGCAACTAAATCTTTCTTATATTAGATGTTTTTGTAAGAGGGTCCCAGAAGGTACCGCTACTGGGATTGTCTTTGTGCTCCAAAGATACAGTCTTTGGGTTGTGAGTTCATTTAGGCTTTTTTTTCCCTCAAATAATGAAAACTCAGCTGTACGGCACTTTACATAGCAACCTGTCTGTGTCCAGGCTGCCACAGAGAAAGAGAAAGAAAGCCTCCTGTCAATAGCATTGCTGTGTGATTCAATGTGCATCCTCGTCTCTGCTTCTCAGAGCAAAATCGGGTCAAGGAATCCCTGTTGCCAACATTTGCATCCCTGCAAAGACAAAGGATTTGGGGGTGTGCTTATTAAGGTGTATCCTACACATTCGGGAAGTGTGTTTGCTGACTCTACGCTCCGCCGTCACTATACCCTCCCTCTAAGATGATTTTGCAGGAGGTTTTTAAAAGTCAAGTCATTTGCTCATTTTATGAAGATTATTTTAGTTAAAAATAATTAAAATGATAAATCATATGTCCGGCTGGCATGTGAACTACAATAATTTGCTACACGCTTAAGGAATAGACAGTGGAGGACTCTATCCATTGTACCAAGTTAGAGAGCCAAGTGAGTTGTAACTGTCTAGCACTCAGACCTACCAAGGAGACCAATGTAAACCCATATAAAGGAGCAAAACTTAAAATCTTTCTTAGGATTTTAAATCAGGAGTTGGCTAACACTTTTCATAAAGGTCCAGTTAGTATATATTGTAGGCTTTTCAAATCTTTCATTCTGTCACAATTGCTCCTACTATAGTAGCATGACAGCAACCTTAGACAACACATAAAAGAACTACTAAACTTCGCGACAGCATGGATGGAACTGGAGAGCATTATGCTAAGCAAAATAAGCCAGGGGATGAACAACAAATACCATATGATCTCACCTATAAGTGGAACCTAACCAACAATACAAAGATGCAAGGAAAATAAGACCAGCAACACTGAAAGGAAAAGAAACCAACAGAGACAAGAGGGAAGGAAGGAGGGGTGGGCAGGGGAAAAGGAAGGGAAGGGGCAGGTCAAGGAACATATAACAAGGACTCATGGACAAAACCAAAGTGGGGAAGGATTGAGGGAGGGAGAGTGGGGAGGGGGCAGGGGAAAGTGGTGGGGGAAGGTGGAAACAAATGTATTTGGGAAAAAAATTAATTAAAAAAAAAAAGAATAGGCTTTGCTGTGAGCCAATATGACATACCTATAGAAACAAGGGTACATCAGGACATAGTTTGTGATACCTGCTATAGGCTTAAAAATGAAACTAACAAAATCTTCATGTGTGACCTGCACCCCACCTTCACCCCAATGAATTATCTGGAGGTTGGTGTATTTTACTCTGGAGATCACTCTTCTAAATGATTCCTAAAAAATGAACAACATTCAACACTGCT